ACGTCTGCATCTTACTGGGACAGTAAGTGATTAAGAGAGCAAGACTTCTAGCAGAGAACAGGAAGGCTTAACGTACTACAGCAAAAGTGCTCTGGTTTACATTTTCAAACTCTAAAAAACCTCTAAGACATAGACTGCAAACTAATGCAATTCAAACTACAAGGTTGAGAGATTTTAAAATTTGTTTAAAATATTAACTCGGTAGTAAAGTAGTAATAAAACTAGAAGTAGACAGACTACCGTAGTTGGTATTTTGGGCTAATATTAGCATTTCTCTCATGTATCGGCACTGGTCAATACGTGCATCTGTTCATTGGTGCCTTCAGCAGCCGTGCCTCATATATAGTGCACTATTTTCATTTGCAATCTATCAGTCAAGTTTTGATTAATATGTTAGTAAAACTAATTTTTCTTTTTGTTTAAAAGGAGACTTCTTTTTTTTTTATCATTTTGTCTTCTATACCACTTAAGAGGAAGAAGAAACTAAAACTAAAAAATCAAATCATTGTCTATCCGATCAAACAATAAATACTGCTCATGGCAGAAAGGCTAGAATAGGCATTACTGAGCAATTTTATCTTCTTAAGTTCTTCAGAAAAAGGGCCTATGGCCAAGTAAAAACTGCAAGAAACAGCAAACCAGGCATAGAACACAAAATGTGTGCATTTCTACTGAAACAAGAAAAACGAAAAGGAAGAAACAGTATTTAAGCTACAGATTTCAATTTCTAAAAGAAAGGACTATGTATAATGAATTATGCAATATTTGAAATACAATGTTGATATGAGAACAGGTATTCTCCTTGGTTTAAGAAAAGCCACGGCCAATTAGGACCTCATATGTGTTAAGCCTTAAGAGTTGAATTAGCGCAGATGGCTGTAGGTGCAGAGCCAGACGAGGCCTGATCCTCCTGGAAGACAACAAGTGGCCCCAAGTCTATTTCTTTTAACTGAGGGGCAATCAAATGTGAGAATCCTGACAGCGATTATTGAAACCCTTTAGGCTGCATTTCACAATGAGAGGCACTTGTCCAACAACCTAATAAGTGTTTAAATAAAGTAGATCACTTCCCCACAAAAGGACAGCCTGAAGGGTTTGGAAGTGACATTGATGCCAGGAGGGGAGCTGAAAATGGGGAAAACTGAGTTGAGTGCTTCTCAGTATTCTTCCTTGCTTTGACCGGATGGCTTTCCCCAATGTTGAAGTACATAAGTGCAGCTTGGCAGTTCAGTGATAAAATGTGGAAACAAGGTTGAAGCGCCGGAGGGCATTAGGTCGGGGGAGAAGAGGTGGGTAACGCCCCCCTTAAATGACCCTCTCTCACATCTCCACACAAAGGAAACTGGCTCCTCTTTTTTGGATTCTTTTAATTAACACTTGCATTGAGGCTCTAAGTATTCAAAGGCTGATACAGGGAAAGAATTTTCTCCCTCTCTTTCCCCCACCTCTCATGCACCTCTTCCCTTCAAACATTTTCCCTCCCTGGTCCTCTTCTTCTCTTTTTCACTCCCTCCATTCCCTCTCTGTTTCATTCTTTTTCTTATTTTCTAGAGGAGGCAGTGTTTGGATTAGATGTCTGGCTGTGAGTGTGAGATAATTACCACTGACAGCTGCACTGAAGGCAACCACAATCACAGCAAACCAAACCACCTCACACCAGAATGGGAGTTATCGAGTAAGGGGAGAACATAGACAGATGAGGAGGAAATGAGATAAGTTTGTCAAGAGTTTATAAGGAAAATACCTGTATCAAAAGAGTGCTGCTATC